TGAAGCACATTTAGACAAGCCTGTGAAATACTGTGAGAATATAGTCTGGTCAGATGAGACAAAAATTTTACTCTTTGGATGCCATAATGCACACCATGTTTGGAGGTCAAATGGCACTGCACATCACCCCAAAAACATCATGGTGTGGCACTGGCAAAATTCATATAATTGAAGGAAGGATGAATGGAAAAATGTACAGAGACATTCTTGATAAAAATTTGCTGCCATCTAGCAGGATGATGAAGATGAAATGAGGGACATTCCAGCGAGACAATGACGCCAAACACAGCCAAGGAAACTCTTGATTGGTTTCAGAGAAAGAAAGTAAAGCTGCTAGAATGGCCAGCCAATCACCTGACTTCAATCCAATAGAAAATATCTATTGATGATAATAATAATAAACAATTATTTAGCAAGAACCAGTAAATGACATGACAAATAGCATGTATAATAAAAATAATTATTTTGTGATTTATATTAATTCATACAAATTAATTATTATCATAAATTCAATAATAATAATAATAATAATAATTATTATTATTATTAATTTATTTTTTAAATAATAAAATGGTTTTACTCCAGCTAGGTGGCATCATTTTTTGAGAAGTGCTGTTTTCTGTGACTTTTCATTATTGCCATATGGAAAGCATCCTCTGATTAATAACCATAACCACTTTTATTTCTTTAAATTAACAAGACATTTGGGACAGAAATGGCTTTTATCCAGATACAAGGAAACCCTCAGAGTGCTTGCTGTGTCAATGAGAGCTAATGAATGTCCTGAAGAACTGCTTAAGATGAAGATACAAGACTCTAATAAAAACTCAACCATCTGCAATATATTAACACACAATCCATCTCCCGCACAGAGGAGTCATTATCTTAAATCACAGCACACTCGCTGTAAATATGCTACTGGCTGATTCATGACCTCATCTTGGGACTGACCTTAAAGAGTGTATAAAGCTCCTCCAGCTCATCGATGCTGAAGGGTGTCTCCGTCACGATGGTACGCACCTGCAAATCCAGTGGATGAGATATTAAACTTCCAGATCCTCTGACTGAGGGCTAATACTACACTAGTGTCAGTATGGAGAGTGTCTGATTACCACATTGCGTTTGGTGGTGTCCTCAATGGCCTGGATCACTCTCAGCCTCTGTTTGAAACGCATCTGCTCAATCACATCCGCCCGGATGGAGCGGAACTTCTGCAGATCACAGTGAACATCAGCAAACATGCAACACCACACACACAACACATGAACACACTTTATGATATACAAGTTGAGAACTGGAGATGAACGGACCTCATAGGAGCTGCGCACCAGTTTGAAGATGTCCACCTCAGGATGAGGCTCCCCATTATCCGTCAGGAGAGAGTGAAGATGAGGGATTGGAGGAAGAGTGCTGTCCTTATTGGTCACGCTGTCCAGATACCTACAACACACATACACAAGCACACACACTCGTTTGAGTCAGCAAAACGAAGAAAATCAGCACCATCATCCGAACTTCTGCAGATCACAGTGAACATCAGCAAACATGCAACACCACACACACAACACATGAACACACTTTATGATATACAAGTTGAGAACTGGAGATGAACGGACCTCATAGGAGCTGCGCACCAGTTTGAAGATGTCCACCTCAGGATGAGGCTCCCCATTATCCGTCAGGAGAGAGTGAAGATGAGGGATTGGAGGAAGAGTGCTGTCCTTATTGGTCACGCTGTCCAGATACCTACAACACACATACACAAGCACACACACTCGTTTGAGTCAGCAAAACGAAGAAAATCAGCACCATCATCACTGTTTCATACATAGATCCTGCTATTCCATATATACTGTAGTATACTATAAATACACACACATATATATACACTTTGTAGTACACTATATACACATATACTACAAAATAGTCCCTTTGTAGTACACTGTATACACACACACTCGAGAATAATCCCTATGTAGTACACTGTATACACACACACTACAGAATAATCCCTTTGTAGTACACTGTATACACACATACTACAGAATAATCCCTTTGTAGTACACTGTATACACACACACTACAGAATAATCAGTATACAGTATACAGTATAGTCCCACACTATAGACACACACATTACAATTTAGTCACTTTGTAGTGCACTACATACTAAAGTATAGTCCCTATGTAGTACACTACATACACACATACTACAGAATAGTCCCTTTCTAGTACGCTATATACACATATTACATTATAGTCTCTTTGTAGTACACTATATATTACCATATAGTCCCTATGTAGAACACTACATACACATATACTACTGAATAGTCCCTTTATAGTACACATACAATACAGACTATATACACCATAAAGTATGCTACACACACTAAATTTGCAGGATACTGTATACTCTTATTTAGAATGTAACATATAATCATTTTGCGGTTCACATATTTAGCTTATAGATGGTGAATACTCACTACGCAGTATACTAGAAACACTAAATTTCCAGTGTACTGTATACTCTACATAGTATGCAGCATATTTTAACTTTTCAGCACACAGCATTAGCAAACTATGCTTACAGAGAATATATACTCACTATATAGTATGCTATATACACAATATTCAGCATTCTGTAAACTCATATAATCATATCGCATATAATCACACAACCAACATGGTTTACTTAATACGTAGTACAATACAAACTTAATTTGCAGTCCACTGTGTACTCTGTAGTATGCAGCATAAAACCACTTTGTAGTACACAAAAAACACTGCTTAGACTATATATACTCACTTTATAGTATGTTACATTCTATACATTTGCAATATACTGTATACTAGTATGTAGTATGCTCAATATAATTACCTCGCAACATAAACATGAACTGCTTACAGACTATATACTCACTATGTAGTATGCAACATTCACTAAATTCGCAGTATGGTATATACTATGCAGCATACGACTTTGCAGAACAGTACATACTGTATGCAGAATACTATGCATACTTACTAGACAGCATACTACAACATACTCATTATGAAGTATACCACACTTAGTATGCGGTTCTCCTACCTGCCCAGGATGGTCATGGCCTCTCCGTCATCTTTGCAGCTCAGCAGCTGATGGATGTTAGCGTCGAGCACCGACAGTGCTAGCTGGAAGATGACCTTGATGCCCTCGTAGAAGAAGCAGTCGACCACCACCACGGCGCTCTCAAAGGGCATGACGGAAAGGAAGAGCGTGAGGAACCAGGACAGAGAGATGGTGGAGATGACACTCAGCGCCTGCATGCAGTCGTACAGCTGAGGAACACAGACGTGAGCCAGCTCCTCGAACACACCCTGGTCCACCAAAGCACCTAGATACACACAAACACACTCATTGCTCACAGATCTTCCTGGATGTGTGTCATAGGGCACTATGAAAATGGTTTTATTTTTTCCCAAATTCACAATTAACTGAAATCATGCAATTCAACATCAATTTATTAAACTTAAAAAAAAAAAAAGTTGTTAGGGATGTATGAAATACTGACATTTTAAAATCTCAAATTTAAATCTCAAACTCAAATTCAAATTTTTCCCAAATTCTGTTTTTCATTTTAAATTTTCTAGATTTTATTTTAATGGTTTAATTAAATCAAAACTTTGACAACTTAATAATTTATTACATATTTTACCATTAATAGGGCCTTATGAAAAACATTTTATTTTTTTCAAAAATTCTGTTTTATTTTCCCAAATTCAGCGTTTTCCACTTTAATTTGTCACGTTTTGCCTACTGTTCAGGAGACGAAGGAGAATTAACATCAAAGGTCTTTATTCTTTCAAACAGGCAGGAACACACACGTATGGAGAGGACAGACGACATTCAATACCGGACAAAGAAACTAAAACTGGAAACACTTTAAATACACAGGACTTGACGAGAAACACCTGTGATCAATAAACAAAATTAAACACGAGGGAAAACTGGGTCATGGAACACGTGGGGAGCAAAACACAAGACACATGATTGACATTACTCCCCCCTTCGTCCACGCGTCTTCCGGGAGTGGGGAGTAATGTCAATCATGTGTCTTGTGTTTTTGAAGGTTTACTATTAAAATTCAAACATGTAAGAAACACAAGACAATAATTTTTTTCTTAAAAAAGTTTCATTATTATTATTATTATTATTATTGTTGTTATTATTACTTGGAGAACTACATTCTACACAATAACACTTGTGAAACAAAATTCTTTCATTGGGTCATGGTGATTCCAATTTTATTTAATTTTATATCATTTTATTTTGTAATATATTTATGCCTCAATTTCTTCAATTTAATAAAACAATTCTGCTCGTAATTTATTTAATTTTACATTTTATTTTATTATGAATTTATTTTATTTTATAATATAGTTATGTCCTTTAAGACCTTTGAGTTTTTGTGTGTATCTGATGATAGTTTTATGAATTGAATTGGTGGAATACTGGTGACATGACTCTCAGAGCAGCTCTGGCGATGAAGTTTGCGTTTATTTCCTCATATAGTAAGACAACAGACGCTGAAAACACTGTAAGCATCATGTGTGCCTGAGTAAGCGTGTAACAGATGAAACTGCACCACTCATTCACACAGATACGTGCAGAAGATGCAGATTTAATTATACACAGCAGTCTTTTGTGGTTTAATGTTCACCGATACTAGTCCATGTGGTCATTTGATTCATTGTACACTGCTACTTTTCATTTATGCATCCAAAATCTGGTGGCTCGCTGATGCATTCGAGAAGCTGGATGATGCAGGAGCTCACCTACGACTCTGGTGTTGTAGTAGTCGGGAAGCATGCGCTCACATAAGGCCACCAGCAGCCAGAAGGCCTCTTCCTCTTTAGCGTACAGCAGCAGGACGGAGGTCACGATGTTCATGGCCTGTGGAAGACGACAGACCGGCATTATGACCAAGCTGTGGGTGCATTTATTGCAGAAGGTGTGTTGTTGTGCATCGTACCTGGCAGTAGCCGATGTTGGGGTTGCGGAAGGCGTATGCAGTGAGGACTCGACGCAGAGCAGCGATGCCCATCTCATTCTGAAAGGCTGGATGCTCTGGAAGAGAGCGGTGGAGGTCTCTCTCGATCTCCTCGGTGGCCAGATTATATTTGCCCATCGACTTCTCCACCAGATCCTCATAATAACCAGGATGAGTGGCCATCTCATTAATCGCCCCTGTACACACCAATATACACACTTAAACAACCAAACAATCAACTTATCAGCAGCACAAATTGAAAAAAAATTATAATAATAATTTTACTGGGTCATGATGAGTTCAGTTATACCAGTGGTTTTAATTCCTGCCCTTTATTTTATTTTAAGCAGTAAAACTAGCGATTTATTTATTCTATATCATCACCAAAGGCTCTTTCTATGGCATGGACAAAATAATTTGATAATTCTATATATATATATTAGGGCTGTCAGTTTAACGCTTTAACTTAATTAATTAGTTATGAAAAAATAACGCCATTAAAATATTTTAACGCAGTTAAAGCAGTTTTGTTGGTAACAAAGCTGTTTTGGTTATCAATGACTTTCATTGTATGAACAAAAAATACTGAGATGTTTCTCAAATTATCTTCTTTGATGTTCCATAGTTTATGTTTGGCCGTTGTAGCCTAAATGTTTATGTGTAATAAATTTTATGTGTAATCAAAATAAATATTTATTTCTAAAGCTACAATTTGTAATGTCTACTTGATACTTTCCCATTTAGCACAAAAATAGCTTTAAATAATCTTTTGTGTGTATTTTCACAGTCAAATTAATTTTATTAGTTATTTTATTAATTAGATTAATTAATCGACATCATGTAATTAATTCGATTACAAATTTAATCTAATTTTAATAGAAATTATGCACTGAAAATACAATGTACATTTGATTACATCTTGCAACTTACAACCTGCTCATTGTTTCTGTATCACATTAGATACATTTCACTGAACTGTCTAAGATGATAATTAGATCACATAACAGTTATTGTCGACTATACTAGCTTCAATGTAGTGAGCAGCTTGGGCAGGTAATTCAACAGAGTAGTTTAACATAAGCTAAACCACTTTAAATCATGGGAAGCTTGTAGCTTCGCAAGTTTCAAAGTAACTTCAATCTCGTGATTTCATCATGTTGTAATGTTGCTAACGCAGAAAACTGTGAAGGAAAACAAGGCAGCTATTTGTTTACTACCACAGAAATGTGCTTGTGCAGTCATGTGTTTCAGTTTGTGCACTGGCCTAGACAGCTTTGAAGTGTGCATGTGTGACTCTTCTGAATAAGGCGCTCACATCTAACAAACAGGAAGCAGTGCTGTATTAGACAAACAGGTACGTGCGCTGAACCACAAAACAACCGCACAACAAAACAGGTGCATGCACACGTAAAAGAGAGTAAACACCTTTCAACATGCCCAGGTTTTTGTTCCTGATTGCTAATGTCTAGTGCAGTGGCTGGTTTTGCTTCAGGATCCAGATTTTACATGGAACATTAAGTACTGATAATTGTTTCTTGCATAAAAGTACAATAAAATATGTTCTTAAAAATCAAACCTAAAATGTATTATTGTTTTATTTTCATTATTTAAAAATAATTCTTTTTTCAAAAAAATAATACGTAGTACTATTTAATATATATATATATATATATATATATATTGGAAAATAATTGGCTGCATAAAATACATCATGCTCCACGCAAAGCATATTTAATGTAATCTGGGTCATATTTTCTTTTACTTTGCCTATTTTCCTAAAATAATGTTCTTAAAATCAAACAAAATGTATTATTGTTTTATTTTCATTATTTAAAAAAACAATTATTTTTACCAACAAAAAATATTTATTTATTTATACATATATACATACATACAATAATTGGCTGCATAAAAACATCATGCTCCATGCAAATCATATTTAATGTAGTCTGGATCATATGTTCTTTTACCGCATATTTTGCTCACTATTTGCAGAATGAGGTTAACACAACTTGTTCATCTTGGCATCTATCTAATCTGACCAGCTTCAACCAAATGACAGATAAATGTGTAGAAACTAATTGGCCACAGGCTCTTTGATATCAACAACACAAGATATCAGTAGACAGAAGGCGATAGGACTAATTATCTGGTTAGTTATTTATTGCTTGAATCCAGTCTTGCTGTTCTCCCTGCTGTCTGTGAGTCAGTTGTGGGATGCATGACTCACCAGAAAACAGGAGCCAGAGCTCTCCTCTCATGTTCTCCGGGATGCCCTGCAGCACCAGCTCTTTGGTCTTCTCCGTGCGGTACATACACACTCCCTGGCCGTATTCGGTGAAGTGATTCTTCCAGGCCTGCTCCTTCAGAAACTCTTTAGCCTGAAAACATGAGTATAAAGAGCACGACTCATCTGCTGTCCTGACTTCAGCTTCACAAGTGCTGATGTAGGAGACTCTCACTTTGAAAATAAGCGCCGGCAAAGAAGCGAAGCCAGTGAACCGTGAACTTCATTAACTTTCTATTCTCAAATTTAAAACGTGGTGCATTTAATGTATATAAAAGCTTTAGATTAGACAATCTTGCAAGCAAAATCCCCCCAAAAATGACTAGAATATTATTCTGAATGCCAAACGTATATATCTTTGCAAGATTTACATGCATTTCGCTCTCACGCACTGATACTGTGTGACTAAATTAACATAGTCTAGTAGTTTTAAAGCGAATGACTTGGATAAGCAGGTTTTCAGGTCATTTGTTGCAGGGTCAGCAAAGAGAATGAACTGTACACAGTCTTCTCATCAGTTGCACTTCCTGTGTGTGTCCTACTTAAGTATCTGCTTTAACCACAACAACGCAATAACCTGCATCTGACTTCAGGCTTTGAACTCTGACTGGACGAGGTGCATTCAAATGCCCATAAACAAACACCTGTGACCGCACCAGGGTTAAAACCTTTTTTTGTTACTTCAAATAAAATCCATGTTAACTGAAATAATATATGAAAATAATGAATAATAATAAATGTATATATATATATTAATATTTAATTAATATTTGTATATTATAATATTTATATTATTGTGATTATATATTATTTTTTATACTATATTATTATACATTAATATTTAGAAATGATTATATTTTGTAATTAAATAAAATATAAAAATGCGTCGACATGCAGCACAACTTCGCTTCCGACGACTTGAGTTAGATTCCCGACTCGTGGTCCTTTGCCGATTCCGTTCCCCTCTCTTTGCCCTATGCTTTCCTATCTTATCTTCACTGTCCTATCAACAATAAAGGCATAACCCCCCCAAAAATATAACTTAAAAAATAAAATAAAATAACTAAAACTAAATGAACTACAACTAATAATAAAAATGAATACAAATTACACAGACATTCAATAAAAATAAATAAAAATGACACAAATACAACTAAAATTACTAAAATTAAAATGAAAACAAAACATGTAATTTAAAATATTAACAAAAACTACAACAGTAAAATCAAAAATACTAAAATAACACTGAACCAAGAAGCTGTGTTGTTTGTAAACAGCCAATAATAAAGCTCAAGAACTACGTAACTTCACATAAGATTTGTTTACTCTGACAATTAATATTAATTTATAAACACAAATATAACTATTGGTGTCTTCCTGTTGTTTTATAAAAGCAATAAGTCACTCAAGGTCATGTATGGCAATGCTTTAACTGTGTTTTTTTAGGGGGAAAGGCAGCTCTTAATCATGGTAAAATCACTATAATGCACAGCCTCTTACAGTATTTGGCAGGACACATTTCTATTCTACTAATCCTGTTGATTTGTGAACTGAATGTACATCAGCTCCTGTCCTTCTCCTTCAGTCCTCTCAGTAAACAGTGATAAAAGCACGATGCTGTGGTGTTTGTGATCAGGCATGAGGGTGCTGTACCAGTTTGGGGTTGAACTCCTCCGGGGACCGCCGGCGGTACATGGTCATCAGGGCTTGTGTCGCTGTGGGAACCCTGTTATCATTGAGATTGAACTGTCTGTCACTGTCTCCCTCAGAGCCGAGAGCGCTGCGCTGGGGACTACAGGACAAGACACTGCCCTGCTGAGAGGACACCTGCACACAGCACAGCAGAAGAGATGCATGTAAAATAATAATAATTAGACATATATTCTGTAATATGTTTTTTTAAAGAATCATTAAACATATTAAATATGACAGTAAAGACATTTATAATGTTGCAAAAGATTTATATTTCAAATATTAATATTCTATATATATATATAGAATATTAAGATAAATATTTATTCGCAACTTTGTTAAATGTCTGGTGTTTAATTCACCTCCTAACACTAGATCTACTTTATCTTCCTGAGTGTTGCGGTCACCGACCTTTTGAGGGCCGACACTTTCTTGGGCGACTTCTTCTTGAGTTTGGGCAGACAGCGGTCCTGCTCGAAGCCCTTGTTGTCCAGCAGCTGTCTCATGGCTATGTTGGCGAGCTGCTCCATGAGTTTGAAGGTCTCGTTGATGTTGAGGAAGATGAAGAAGACGTGCTCGCTGCAGCGTGTGCTGACGCGCACCATGTCCGGCAGCAGCAGCGTGGCGTTCTTCTCCAGCTGAGTCACGTCGGCCCAGCGGATCACCAGCTTAGCTGAAACAAACCGCCACACAAGAGTAAACATTAAGATCTGTTAGGACAGAACATTTGTGACCCTGGAGCACAAAACCAGTCTTAAGTCGCTGGGGTATATTTGTAGCAATAGCCTGTCTGTCACTGTCTCCCTCAGAGCCGAGAGCGCTGCGCTGGGGACTACAGGACAAGACACTGCCCTGCTGAGAGGACACCTGCACACAGCACAGCAGAAGAGATGCATGTAAAATAATAATAATTAGACATATATTCTGTAATATGTTTTTTTAAAGAATCATTAAACATATTAAATATGACAGTAAAGACATTTATAATGTTGCAAAAGATTTATATTTCAAATAAATGCTGTTCTGAACTGTCCATTCAGAAAGGAATCCTGTATCTTCAAATGTGAAGCAGCACAACTGTTTTCAACATTGATAATAATCAGAAATGTTTCTTGAGCAGCAAATCAGCATATTAGATGATTTCTGAAGAATCATGTGACTCTGAAGACTGGAGTGAAAACTCAGCTTTGATCACAGGAATAAATTACATTTTACAATATATTACAACAGCTTCCATACTCAATAGCCACTTACTGTACACACTGTAAAGTTTCAGGAGTGACAACCACATTTACATACAGTGGTAAATCTCATACATTATTGTTTTGTGTGAGTATGGAACAGAACTCACTGATGATTGACATTGTTGTAACCATAGCAACATTTTGCCATCTCACACGTTCAGTATCCACTATTTTTTTTAAATAAAAATAATACTACAATGACCAAAGACTCGTTATGTTCTGCAATTTTAACTAAACCACTGTCAACAGCCATTGTGTTTGGGATGAAAGTGGGAAAGTTCGGAAGGCTGCTTTGCAGAGCGCTCTTGAAGGGTTGCCAAATCCTCTTATTATAAACAATACTTATTTAAGCGACTTTGGGCCTGTTGTTTAGGATCGGCTTGGCTCATAATGCGATCCATATTATGGAGATAATAAAGTAGGCAGGTGCAAGTCATGATATTTTGGTATGTGGCTTATTTGTAAAGATAACACATCTGGGTCTAATTTACAGTTTATTTTTTTATAGCAATATCTGGCAACACTGAGTCAAGACATACATCCTTCCTTGTGATATCTTGCACCACAACTCTGATATGCGTTTAAATAAATCATTAACAACAACTTGTTCAGTGCAGTTCTGCACACACTGTGCAGAATTTCTGTAAATGTGGTTGCCATTACCTGCATTTTTTGGGAGTTAATTCATTTGTAGAATCCATTTTTAGTTTTAGATTTTTAAAAGAATTCATTTTAAACATTATGTTAACATTTATTTTACTTCAAGTAACAGAATTGTTTTTTATGGTTTTAGTTTTAACATAATCAGCGTAGTTTACGTTCAGGATAAAGCATGCGCACGCTGAACGTAAACAGCGCTGATTACGTCGATTACGTTCTGGGGTACTTTCCAAAATGGCAGAAGACGTTAACTCGGGAAGAAGAATTGCTGAATAAATTATGTTATTATTGTTTTCTTTGCACACAAAAAGTATTCTCGTAGCTTCATAATATTACGGTTGAACCCCTGATGCCACATGGATTATTTTACCGATGTCCTTGCTACGTTTCTGGACGTTGATCGTGGTAGTTACCTTGCTGTCTATGGGAGGGTCAGACAGCTCTCAGATTCCATCAACAATATCTTAATTTGTGTTCTGAAGATGAACGAAGGTCTTACAGGTTTAGAACGACATGAGGGTGAGTAATTAATGACAGAATTTTCATTTTTGGGTGAACTATCCCTTTGATCACAGGAATAAATTACATTTTACAATATATTACAATAGAAAATGTTTATTGAAATATATAAATTGCAATAATATTTCAAAATATTACTGTTTTTGCTGCATTTTTGATCAAATAAATGCAGCCTTTCTTTTAAAAATACTTCAAAATCTTTTACATTTTTTTCAGGATTCTTTGATATATAGAAAGTTTAACAGAATAGAAATTATTGGAAATTTTCATGTGTGCTTACTGAGTAATTTCTTAAAAAAGAATATTAGTAATAAATACAAGTAGATTAATACACAGAGCTGTTCCTACCTCGTCGTCTGAGCTGCTGAGGCTGCCCGTGATTTCCCGCTCTAAGTAGATTTTGGAGGTGGTCTGCTGCAGGAAGTCCGAGATCCTCTGCACCAGGAAGTCCCGGTCTTTGAGGTTGGCAAAGAGGAAGGTCATTTTGTTTTTGGTGCTGATTGACAAGGGGCTGGGAAGGACGTTACAGCTATCGGCTTTCTCAACGATGGTCACCTAGTGAAACACTTGCTGACCTTTTTATTCAAAACCGTGATTCTTCTATTTTAAAACAAAACATTACATTACAATAGATACAATCAGAAATAAGGCCCACCCCTGATGTGTAGCTGTAGTGTACTCACCCTCTTTCCCGAGCAGGTAGGAGTAAAAGCAGAGGTGGTTGATGCTGAGGTACAGCCAGCCCTGCCGAGGCACCTTGCCCTTCCAGTAGCTGCAGGAGTAATAGTTGACCAGCTTCTCCTCCTCCGGCATGACGAAGAGCTTGCCGAACTTAGCGATGGCCTCCTTAAACTTATCTGTGTCATCATCCTCTCTGATTTCATGGCTTTTGTTGTATTCGGCGATAATGCCCTGCACACAAGCACACAGACAGACACGTGTAAGCACTAAAGCACCAATTACGGCTTTCTCAACGATGGTCACCTAGTGAAGACAGAGAGGGACAGGATGCACAACCCATTTTACTTCCACGAAGTGTAATCATTAAAAATGTCTTTATGCTGCAGCAACTGACTGGATTGTGAAAGATGGTGGAGAATGCAGGATAAATGCTTATGCATATTCAAATTTTGATTGTGTATGCTGTGTACTTATTCGAGTGTCATGTCATTAGTTTAGAGTGGAGCGGCTGGCGGGACGCACCTCTCTGAGTGGGATAATCAGACTGCAGACGGTCTCCTCTTTACTGGTGAAGCAGATGTAATTAGTGGAGACGAACATCTGTCCGAGGATGTGCATCTTGTTGAAGGGGGTCCATAGCGTGCAGTCTGTGTGACCGTCCAGTTTCTCGTCTTTCGGCAGGCGGAAAAGTGCCCGGTATCGCTCGCTTTTAGCCCTGGCGTCCAAATCCCTGAAGTCACAAAAACAAATATAAAATTGAAAAAGGCTGCTAAAAGTTTCCTAAACTCCTTCTAAATGCATATAGCGAACTAAACTCTACAATATTGTCACTTTACCATAGAATTGGTGGAGCTGTTCTGTACATCAGAGCATTAATCCTCTTAGTTTGCACAGACGGTGTTCAGAGCGCTCTGAAGGAGAGCCAGATTTGCTCCTTTCAATTTCACACAGCTGCCAGACGACTGTTCGCTCCAAAATATAATCCTTCACTTTTTTGTATTTCAACTCCCATTTTTAAGACAATTACAATTATCTAATGAATTCGATAAACAGCAGTTCTGTGACTGATCTGTCACTAAAAAAATATTTCTTACTCAGCATTTTTTACTTTTTTTTTTACAGTACAAATATCTAAAATCAGAATGCATTTACTTGAGAAGCTGTATTACTGAAAGGTATTAAGCCTTGTTTTCTGAAACAAATTAGCAAAATTAAGTGAGTTTATACTTAAACCTAGAAAAACAATCTGCAAATGGGGTAAGAAAAATAAACTCAATTTAAAAGGAAAACATGTTTTATTTTTCTTATCTCATTGGCAGATATTTATTATTATATCTTTAAATATACTGCTTTATTATATACGTCATATCTTAAATAATTTAGCTTCTAAAGTACCGGTAAATGTAGCTAATAAAATAGGCTATAAAATAAAAATATAAATAGGCTATAAATATAATAAATAATAAATAAAAACAACAAAAATACTTGTTTAGAAAACCATTTTTCACATCACAAGAGGAATTTTATTTAATTTAAATTTATTTAAACTGATTAATTAATTGACATTAATTTAGATTTTCTATTTGAATTTATTTCACAGTAACAGTATATATCATTATAATTATTTTTTGCAAGAACAAAAAATAACATAAAAAAACATTAAAACGCCAGCTTTTATTTATTACATAATAAATTAGTAATGTCTATTTTTGATCATCTAATATAAACTCTACACAAATTAAAAGTACTTCACCAGGTGCTTATTTCATAAAATAAGCAAATACATTTAAATAAATATAAATAAATATTTAAATAAGTTTCCTCTTTTAAATAAAAATATTTATTTTTAATCATTATGGACATAATGGCAAAAGATGAATTTGCAGCAAATGAACAAATGTGATGAATATTTCTTAATATTAAGATGAATATTTCTTCGTAACTTTGCTTCCAGTAGCTGCAGGAGTAATAGTTGACCAGCTTCTCCTCCTCCGGCATGACGAAGAGCTTGCGGAACTTAGCGATGGCCTCCTTAAACTTATCCGTGTCGTCATCCTCTCTGATATCATGGCTTTTGTTGTATTCGGCTATAATGCCCTGAACACAAACACACACCTATAAGCGCTTTGGCTTATAATGAAGCACCAATTAAACGAATAGCGTGTTTGAAATGCTAATGTGTAACCTGTATTTTGCCCTTGACGAAGGTGGTGATGTCGTTCTCATTCTCGAAGATGGAGAGCGTCTGCAGCAGATTCTGCTCCAGCCATTCCCAGTTCTCCGTGATCTCCTTACGAGAGCTCCCTGCCAGAAACAAAAGCCTCTGCGTCGTCAAATAATACGAATCCAGTCGTTTAGGATCATGCATTTCATTTGAAGTCTTTATCTGCAGCGACTTCATTTGCTCAGAACTGAACAGCAGATGGGTCCGGGTTCTTGGTTTAATTAGCTCTGTGTTAGCACAGCTCTCCTCAGACAATTAATCAAACACATTACTGGTGAGCCAAATGATTCATTAAGAGCGTTCTGTGACGAGTGCCCCGCAATTAGGTAAAGATGGAAATACACAATTATTTAAAAAATAAACTATCTACTCTCCATCTGCCGTTTAACCAAAGCTCACAAAAACATTTAATATTAAATGTTAAGTTAATATTAATATAAACATATATATATATATATGAAAGCTTAAAATAAAAATATTATTAATAAAATTAAAAATAATAATTCAATTTAAGATTTATAATTTTATATTTATAATATGTACATAGGTGTATATGTTATAATAATATTAAATTAATTTAGCTGTTTATAATGTCTGAAAACCAACGATTTATATTAAATGTTACATTTAATCTTAATATTGTTTTATATTTTTATATACGTAAATTTAATATTAAATATTAATAATAACATAAAAATCATTTAGCTGTTCAAAAATCAATCATTTTGTCTATAGTAATATTATTGTTAATTTAACATTAACATTATAATTTATGTATGCATGTGTGTGTGTGTACACACACACACACACACACACACACAATTTTGAATATTTATTACATTATTTATTTATTAATACATAATTTTTTAATAATGTCTGACAACCAAAAATATATTTAAATAGTAAACAAAAATAATAATATTAAATTGTACATTTATTATTAATATTATAATTTTATATTTATAATATAGGCATTTTTTAAATATATTTTTATAGTTAGATATTTATTTTACAACATATATTTATACATTTACACTGTAAATGAAGCCTACAATTATTTCTAGAAAATACATTTTTCAATAAAAAAGTCCCTATGTACAGTCATGCTAAAGCCTTTCACAGAGCATATGCACATCAGAACAGGCACATGGGTTTCTCGCCCAAAATTATGAGATTTACCAAATGGCTTGCAGCTAGCAAAGTAAGAGCTTGTGAAATATGAACCAGCATTCGCAGTTGCCTGTAAACCAGATTAGCTCAGAAACAGAGCACTCTCCGCTCCTCTGGGAAGCCAGCGCTCTCTTTTGGCTTCACACATAATGTTCTGGGCTGGGGCTGGATGCTCTTACCTTAAATACTGTGGGACAACCATACTAATCTTACTGATACAGTCATCTTGTATTCAACTCCATGTTGTGTCATCCATTAATAGCATGTTTGTTTTCAGCTCTGTATTTTCACTCTCAATATGTCTCCACATATTGCTTGATTTTTGTTTGAAGTATTGAAAATGTTTTGAAGTATTATTTATTTACAATTATTAATTTGCAATAATATTTAAATCTGTTTATTTTTTATTTATGATTAAAAGCAATTTTTTTCAATATTAAAATAAAATAGTGAAATATTTAAGAGGCTCAATATCAAATTCGTTTTTGTAGTGGTATTGAAATCAGCATCAAAAAATCATGAAATTTCTTTAGCATTGCTACAGACTACAAAAATGAAAATTTTGGTATTTTGACAAAACTACTTGTTTCTTTAAGTGTAAATAGCATTAATCACTCTTACACAAATACATCTACCATGCCAATAATTGCACAGAAGAATCTACACCGGTTTGATTTTATTAGTGTTTTTTTTTTTTTCATTTTTATACCAATATTTACTAAACTGAAAAAATACTGAAGGCTACTTGCCATTGTTTTAATGCATTATTTAATTAGAATTATTAATTTGCAGCAGTATGTGTAAATAATATATACATAATATGTGCAAATAACGTAAATCACTCTTGCACAAATATATCTACCATGTCAATAATTGTATAGTAGATACTATACTGGTTAGAATTTATTTTATTTATTTATTTTTGTATTTTTTAAAGCAATATTTACTGAACTGAAAAAAATACTGAAGGCTACTTGCCATTGTTTTAATGTATTACTTATTTAGAATGATTAATTTTCAGTAATATTTAAACAAATGTATTTGTATTTTGATTTATAAGTTAAAATATAAACTAAAAATATAAAATGAATTTAAACGATTTAGTTAAAAAATAAAATAAAATAAAGAGCAATAGTCCACTACTAAAAAATAATGTTGCAATAGAGAAATGTTTCTGGTATTGCTCTAGCTACAAAAGCTTTGGTATTGTGACAACTGATGCCATGTGTCTTCACATGCAATTGGCGTAATGCAGACCTGCGCAAAATATATCTGCCATAGTAAAAACGCTATAACACAATCCATTTGGGTTTCAGTGTGCAGTGTCCTGCTGCCTAATATCGGTGTTACTCTGATCTCATCTTAAGTGCTCTTAATTGCACATTAACCGCACTGCCCTGCATCAGAAGACTCTTCGTAGTCCTGCACAAATACCGATTCCTAACAAACGCCTTCTTAGCTAAAACATTCCTGCACTGAAGTTTTCCACGTCTAAACTGAAGTTTAAAAGCGGAGACAGTCGGCATCGTTTGAAAGAAGAGTGGAGATTTCTGACTTCAGCTTGCACTTTAGAGGCACTAGAGCATGAGCTAATGCTCCGGCAGGCGGCGGGGGGTCGGAGGCAGTATGTTACCGTGGCCGATGCTCCAGTAAACCAGGGAATCGGGGGTCTGGTAGAGGATCCTGTACGGGGCCACACGGGCGCTCGAGTCCAGCACCACGTCAAGAGTACCAACCAGCAGACCTGTGAGAAAACAGACCACTGCATATCAGTCACACAAAACTGACTGAACCAACAGTACAACAGTAGAAAACAAGTCCACACAGACAAAGATATCGGTTTCATTTCATGGAGATATTTATAAAAAAAAAACTAGTTTGATTTATGAAATAGTTTCCGTTTTTCATTTGAGTTTTAGTATCAGTTTAACATTTGGGAATATTTCCACAGTTGTTTGAAAAATAGTATGTTTCCTAATGACCACATCGTTAGACTCGTGTTGTAATCTTGTGATCCTTGTCTTGGGACTTGCAAACACGAGAATGTTAAGAAAGAGATGATTTAATATCATCCCTGATTTAAGCTTTAGCAACAAAAATGGTGGTAAAGTCGATTCATTTCAGTGAATCAGTTCAAAATGTTCGTTTCAATGAAGTGATTCATTTTAGTTTTGCGTCTTTTCAGTCTCTTTTCGTAATCTATGGCTGTTTGGTCAAAATGATGGTTCCTTTGATCGAATAATAATTCATTATCATCATTATAATCATCAATCTTTTAAGCCAATTCAGAGCAAACAAACAAAAAAATATAATTTTCATATTATATTTTTAGGTACTTTATTTATTTATTTAATGATACTATTCAAAAATTTGGGTTAATTTAGATTTTTTTTTTAAGAATTTCATATTTTTATTCATCCAGGATGCCTTAAATTGATCAAAATTGCCAGTAAACACATTTATGATGTTACACAAGATTCTATTTCAAATAAACGCCGTTCTTTTGAACTTTCTATTCATCAAAGAATCTTGAGAAAATGTTTCACAGTTTCCACAAAAAATTTAAATAAGCAGCACCACAACTGTTTTCAACATTTATAATAATAATAATAATAAATGTTTCCTGAGCAGCAAATCAGCATATTAGAGTGATTTCTGAAGGACACTGAAGACTGGAGTGGAAAATTTAGCTTTGCATCACATTAATAAATTACAGTTTTTCCTGTATTTTTGATCAAATAAATGCAGCCTTGGTGAGGAGAAGAGACTTCTTCCAAAAACATTTTAAAAATCTCAAACGGCAGTGAGTGTGTATATATACATATCTTCAAAAAAAAGAAGCATACTGACATACAGCTTCAAAAGCTGTAGTTTAGCTCTAACTAGGTGTAGAAAAGGTCAGTAGCAATAAAACAACAACCAAGCAACCAAAAACACATCAGTCCTCAATGGCTGCTGCTTGTAAACCCCCTGGGCAAATGCTGTTAGCGGCCTTGAAGAATCTACCTGAGGAGCGTTAGCACTGCATCAGTGCATCAGACACCTGCAAAACCTGCAGACCAGAGGAGGAGCTATTCATCTCCAGCACTCATTCTCACAAAACCATCCAGTGTGGATCAGGCAGGTTCAGCCAGTTTGAACGTGCACAAGCAAAACTGGGATTTGAGACCATTTCGTTTATTTGGAATAACTGATCAATCATGCACAATAAGAACAGGAATGTGCATCCGTTTTTGACACCACAGATTTTGCCAAAGTTGAATGTGTGAATCAGGATCCTCCAAACAAATCTGGCTTCCTGTTTCTGCTGGAGCTCGTGTGTGCACTAACACCCCCCTCCTGAACATGTGACTTTCTGTTTCTGCTTTCATATGCTCGGATGAGCCACGGTTTCCTTGGTTGCGAAACAAGAGAGCAGAGATTTGAGAGTACTGTAAGGATCACGTGATCTATTCAGTGGCAGAGCCCTGCGTTGAGCGCTGTTTAAGTGCACATCAACAACATTCAGTTCATTCTTTAACACACCGTTTCCAGTTCCAGTATTTCAAGTTCCTTTGACAGACAGAGCCAAACAGCTGCCTTCTTCTGTCAAATACTTGACATATTTCATGACATAGCATTCCATAGGGCTCTTTTTATATTGATGTATTTTCAGAAAAAAAAATTTACAAATATTTTATTATTAATACATTTTAATTATTTTATTATTGATATATTTTAATATGATTGATAGACAGTATTTTACAGACACATTCAATGATATTAATTGAGTTTCCTCTGCAATAAATATTAAATATTCTATTCTTGGATCATGAATATTAATTAAGCTGCATGACTGACTGGACAGTCCCGAAAGGCTTCCAAGCAACGCATGCCAGAATTAATATTCACATACTTTATGGCTCAAATTCACACTGTTACACAGTAGCAAAGTCGTTTAACACTTTCCATTTTCTATTAGGGTGCAATCACACTAGATTGCCATCAAGAAAAATCACTTCACACTCCACAACGAATACGAGCAACAGGATATGAAATCATACTCTAGGGTTTTTGTTTTTAACAAATAATGAATAAAAAATAAATAAAAAAGGTAATAACGAATGTAAAATGTTAAATCATACCATCTATAGCAAACAGCATTAACGTTTGTTGTTATTGTTAACTAATGTTTTTGTTAATTGAAATAAAGCCAAAAATATAAATATTAGATGAAAAACTTAGAAACTAACTAGCTACTAACTCAAATAAGTGGACGTTAAAGTACTAAAATATTTTAAACTAAAACTGAAATTACAATAAATTAAAGGCAACTATAAATAAAAACTACTAAAAATGACATAAAAATTTGAATTAGTCTAATTAAAATAAAAACTGAGAATATAAAAAAACAATTCAAAATATTAATAAATACTATAATAGCATATAAATAATATTAAAATAACACTGGATGTTTGTATTCGTTGTGTTGAAGTCATTCTGCAATGTTTAGATCCTCTTTTGGTCAAACTGCTCAGTTTGCACTGCACATTGCCTACTATTTATAAAAATGGGAAACAATAAATAACAATAATTGTTTCAATAGTAGTATTCTACATTAATGTCACAAGACCTCTTTGTGAACATGTTTAATTCAGCAAGTGGCATCCAGTTGTTGAGTTTATAAAACATAAAAATTCGGCATTTTTAATCCATTGCTTTTCAACCATTTGCACATGGAAGGTCCAGTCGAGCGCACTGCATTATGGGAGACACTACTACATTTTGACCATGGTAGTAGGGCGTGCTAGACTACATAGCCTTTTACAGATATGCTTGTGTTTCCCTGATGGCATATATGTGAATCCTGGGAACACAATCAGTCCTGTGAATCTTGTTAGGATTAGAGATGCACCGATTGACCGGCCAGTGATCGGAATCGGACGGTTTTTCCCAGTCTCACGTTTTGCCGATTCTGAGCCGATCCTTTTATTGCCAGCGGCGCCGGCAATGACGTCACAGCTACGCGCACACTCACAGTCGCGTGTAAACATGTAAACACTTAACAAAATTAAGTGACTTAGATTTTAGACAAAATATTGACTGTTTTTGCTAAATTTCGCTGACGAAAATAGTTCTGATCAAAGCCACTGTTGTGTGTCTCTGAGCAACACACAGTGGTGTTTCGTTACTGAATGAATCCACGTTTTTGAACGAATCGAGTGAGTCAATTATTTAGTGGCCTATTCATAAGAACAGTCACTTGCCTCGTTTCTGAATGAATCAGCCATTTGAATGAATCGGTTGAATGAATAAATAAATGACTCACTCATTAAAACAGACATTTGCCGCCACCTACTGGTGGTTTAGTCATATTTAAAAGTATCATTGCATTTTTTCAACATTTATTTGTGTTTAAAAAAATATGTAAAACATTAATCTTATAAAATTATTTATGCATTTGAAATTTTGCAGTGTAAATGCATTTATGGCACCTCAGCTTCATCAAACTGTCCGTGTAAATGCATCTAATGCCACTTCAGATGCAGCTTCTGTTACCTCAGCAGAAAGATAGAGTTCGTTAATACTAATTTCATTTGAATGGTAACAACTCTAGTTTCTTATTATTCTAACTGAATTAATTAAAACAAAGTAAGAATTTGATGTGAAAGATGACACATTTAATAAGGTTAGGGGAAAAAAAAGACTATTTATAAACATAGTGGGAAATGACATCTGTTTTGTTACATACAGCAACTCATTTTAAGTGAACTATTTCTTCCTCTTTCCAGTCACAGAGCACTTTACTTTGAGAGTTGTTTAAGTGAGAGAAAATCTGTAACTTAGTCCAGATTGGGGGAATTGTAATATTTAATAATTTCTTTTATTATGTAAATAATTTTTGCATTCAAATTTGCATAGATTTCTGTTTGTATATGCTGTTAATTATAGTTCTTAGAAAGAAAATCGGAATTGGCAAAAATCGGTATCGGCAGGTCACACTTCCAAAAAATCGGAATCGGCCAAAAAAATTGCAATCGTTGCATCTCTAGTTAGGATGCTTGGATAAGGAGTTGTGGGAAGAACATTTCATTGTTGTCTTTTCTCATTCTAAATATAGAACGTTCTGCTCTCAATTGAATTCATCTCCGCTCTGACAAAAACAGCCTTACCAGCACACGGACAAAATCAATATTCTCCTGAACAGCATCAACCTGATACAACTGCATTGAATATCATAAAAACACAAAGAAGCTGTTGACTTCACCCATATTGAGCCTCAGAAAAGACATTTAGGCTCCTTCTGGGTGCATGCAGACCACTGGGCCTGTGGATAATAGATGAAAATTAGAGATAAACCGATATTCATATTTTTTTTAACCGATAATTTGCATGTTTATGTGCCTGATAACCGATATGCAGAACCTGCATTTATTGTTTTACTTCTGTTTTATTTCCATCATGCACTCTTTCAAGCCTGTTTTATTTTTAAATTATGTAAAGTTATGTCTTTGGGACATGATTTGACAGATTTACTCGACTCGTAGCGCCAAGCTTAAACTACAGATCAAGCGTTTATGTAACGAACCTCATTTGTGCATTAATGGCAGTTATGTTAAATAAAGTTTAGCAAATAAATCAAAGGAAGCTACCTTACATTTTAACAGGTTTGTAATGGTGGTCTTGTGTGCAATTCTCCATTTATCGGTGGATTCAATATTAGAAAACTGATATCTGTTTATGGAAACATGCATAAATATCAGGGAAAATATTGGTAAAACCGATTATCGGTCAATCTGTTGCAACTGTTCTGGACGTCCTAATGATAAAATTGGATTAAAGTATGTTTATGTTGGTTTAAAAATGCACTACCTACAGTTTGATTGCTTAAAGGTTGCTCTGTCTTAGCTCACTGCAATTTTTTAAAGCATTTATCATTTAAGCATCAGCTTTGTATCAAATTTTTCTTATAAAATGCCTCAAAAACAGACACAAATGAGTCGGCTGTAGAGTACAGATCTATAGAAATAATACAGAGATCATAGCTCAATAACTTTCCTGGAATAATCTGATGAGAAATGCTTGAGACCAATGGCAAATCTGAGCACAGTTTGAGACAATGTTGAAACACATGAGGGATTCCTTGAGTCAAGTCAAGTCAAGTCAAGTCTGCTTTATTGTCAATTCTTCCACATGTACAGCACATACACACAGAGAATTGAAATTGCGTTACTCTCAGACCCTTGGTGCATACAGATAACCAGATAACCAGATAATCCTGAGTCTTTTTCTCAGGAGAAAATGTACCCATATTTAGCCACAGAAAAGACATTTGGGCTCCTACTGGATGCATGTACAACACCAGGCCTTCAGATAATGGACAAAAACACAACTGTTCTGGACGTCTTAATTAACAAATTGGAATAAAGCTTGTTTATGTTGGTTTAAAATTGCACTACCTACAATGTGATTGTTCAAAAGTTGCTCTTTCATAGCTCACTACTATTTTTTAAAGCATTTATCATTTAGGCATCAACTTTGTCTCAAATGTTTCTCATAAAATGCCTTAAAAATAGACTCCAATGAGTCGGCTGTTGAGCGTAGAGCTATAAAAATAACACAGATTATAGCTCAATAACTTTCTTGTAAGAATCTGATGAGATCCTATGGAGTTTGAGTTTGAGACAATGTTGAGATCTCTAGAGGAGAAAATTCTGGAACGATTCAGGTAATAATACCAAAACAAAAGCAAAAGTCACTGTTCAAAAGCATTTGTTCTCAATGAGAAACATGTGAGACATTAAGGAGATCTTAGCGAGATCTCATGTGTGATTTTTTGTTCTCATAGATAAATAAATGGAAAAATTGGATGAGCCTACAGTAAACACTATTTACACATGTAAAGAATAAAAAAATAGGAAAATGTTTCAGAAACCATATAGGCTAATCATTACACACAACTACATCTTCCTTGCCTATTCCACTTTTCTTTTGTTAAAAATTAATGTCTGAATAAAAATTTCACAAGATTTTTGGTCAGTTTGACATTTGTAAACACATACACAAAACCGCCGGCTACCCAAGACCCTGTGGGTCAGTCTGCTGGGCCGTGCCAGGCTCACCGACTCTCACTGGCACACAGCTCGCACATTTATGTAACAATGACATCATCTGCCCTCGCTAGTGTACGCTTTGTGTCTGTCTTTTCTTACTGACAGACACAAAGAGGTATGCGCACAAATACCGGCAACGTTTTGGCTCTAAAAACGTCGATCTCTGCTATTCACTCCGAGTTTTATCCGTAAACACATTATTTTTCAAGAACTCCCTTCAAGGCTCCAGCACGATATCTGTCAATCAGCGATAAAGAGGCGAACGCCACACATACAGCACCTGTCCAGCTATGAATACAGGTCAGCTCACCAGGTGAGGTCAGTAAAGCATATTTCACAACACCTAACCAGCTCAGCTTCCTGTCCTGAGGCATTGAGAATAAACTGAACCTTACTGAGCCTGTTTGGTCACTAATATCATGCTAGGACTTTTATATTGGGTTATTGGATGCATATATCAGCCAGACTGATTAACTGGCCCATATTTGGCCATTTTGATGTTGCCAAAGCAATAGAAGCAATATTTAGGGTTAGTAAACAAGTCTAAGAACATGAAAATGAATGTTAATTTCAGCAATTTTCCCAGTCATCAGTCAACCGAAACTCTCTCGATATTAGTATCAGCCATTGAAAAAACCCCATCGGTCAACCACGGCCACATTAAAAACATCCCACAGAAACAATGAGCCATTTCTATGGTGCTTGAATGCATCTATACATCTCTTGCATGGCCTGTTCACAGCAGTGATAGAAATAATATGATTATGAGGCTTTATAAATCCATGTAAGTCTATATTACGCACAATCATGCATACACACAATAATCAAATATATACTTGATTCGGATTGATCAGTCATAGTATTGTCCAGGGCAACTGAATGGTAGAACTGAATGGAAACCAACTTTCTATCAATATCAAATCGGAATATTTATTGTCCATTCAAACTCTAATTTAAACTTTTTTTTTTTAGAATGTTGAAAAAGGAACTTCTTTGTACAAATGCTCAAATAATGCTGGATAACATGAATCAGCAGGTTTGCACAAACTTGTCCATGCAGACATTATAAACATGAAATATTAAACTTCCTGCTATTTTCAAATTATGCTGATAACATAATTGCTAATAAATAATATGTCATCGATTGTGAAAATGCTCAAATATTTTTACAAATAAATTAATAAACTGAACAATATAATATATACGACCAAATCACATTACTGTAAAAAAATAAATAAAATAAATCGAAGATTTAAATAAAACAATTTATTAGAGTACGTTTTCTAAGAACATACTATTCAATGTGTTACTTTTCGTTTCTATGTAATTATTTGTGGAATTTACTAGCAATATCTGAGTGAAGACTGTTTCGAAGTAAATCCTATTTTCTTTAGTGACCTGTCCACACAGGTAAGAGCGCACTCGCGCGCACAGGTGCATCTCCGTGTACGCGGCGTGACCAACAACAGCGCGCGTCCACCTGAGTGTGCAGGCATGAATGAACACACACACACACACACACACCGGTGTGTTAATAAGCTGTCATCATAAACAACATGCGGTTGATTGAGTAATCACGGCTTTACCCGCGAGCCCTCCTCCGCCGTCTCCGTGGCCCTTTCTCTTCTGCAGGATGAAGTAGGGATTCGCTCTCTCTGTCATCCACAGCGCGCTGGCCAGCAACACCTCCTCAGGGTTCACCCACATCTTCTGCTCGGGCTCCTCACGAGGACATCAAACAAACCTCAGATGCGTGGTCCAGTATGGAGTCGCCGTCCTGAAGCTTATCCAAGCGTCACAGCGATAATATAGGGAAGCGACGGCAAACGTATCAGCTGTCAGTAGAATATAACACTTACTGTACCGTGCATAAGGATAAATATTAAAATATACAGTCCTCCTGGAGCTCCTTGAGACGCGCGCGCACCTCACACTACACAAATAACAGCATTAACACCTTTCTTAAAGGACGACAGCGGCTCCAGCGCCTGACGATGACTGGACTGATGTATTCCGGCAGCACGCAAAATAAACAATGCCTGACAGTTCTGCCGTGCTTCAATGATGCTTAACTCACTAGCGCCACTGCAGAGCGCGTCACGGGCAGGCCATTGTGACGTCACGGCGGTGGGCGGGGAAGCACGTTGATCATAAACAAAAAAATGACTGACAATTCATTTTGACTAAACTAAAATGAAAAAAAATAGTTTAGGTGGCTTAGGATTACAAACTGGGTTCAACTAAGTTGTCACGATCAATAATGTTTAATAAATAAATCAATAATAATGAATACACACACACATACAGTTTAAAAACGATTAATTCTTAAAATAAAAAATAATTAAATAATTCTATTTTTCATATATATAAAATTTGTATATATACATATAATACTTTATTATAATATATAATATCTACAAGTTATATGATTATATAATTTATAATCATAAGAAAAGTAGTATATATGAATGTATATATATATATATATATATATATACACACACACATATACATACATATATTTCTCTCTCTATATATATATAGACGTGTGTGTGTGTGTACATTATACATAATTTTTTTAATATATACTCTAAATATAGTATAATTTTTCTATACTTCAAATACAAAGTATATATATAATGTACATATTTTTTCAATTGTAATATATATAATATACAGGATTATATATACTTATATAATTTATAACAAGAAAGTAACCTTTTATATCATGTTTGGCTAATTGGCTGATTTTCAAATAAATAATCATATCATGCTTGTCATCTGATTTTAAGTTTTACAGCAAAAGGACACAATTTCTATTTTTGTAATTGACTTTTTATCAGGTTCATCGGGTTGAGGTGAAGCTTCATAAATAGGTCAAGTAAATAAAGCAGTGGCTGATGTTTGCACGAGGTGTTTCCCCATCGCTCGTCTGTGAAGGATCAGATGCAGTTTGGCTAACCGCTGTATCTGTAGGTTTAACACCCCTGCTCGGCATCACAGGTGGGACAGGCTGAAGTTCAAAAGGATGAAGCAAAACAACCGCATAAACACCCACAGCGACAGCTTCACAGCAGGAAAACAGAGGTGCGAGCGGCCATCATTACTGCACTGCTGCTCTGGTGGTTTGTCAGCCGCTGCTGGGTGAGAGGCTGCAGGAGATCGAGCTCTTTCCTAAACCAGACCACAGGAAACTCAACTGGAAAGTGCGGTGAACTTGGAATAAGTGATCATGTACAGTCAGACACAGTCACACGGCGCTGTGTTGTCATGCTTAGATTATAGCTTAAAGGGGTCATATGATGTTGCTAAAAATAACATTATTTTGTGTATTTGGTGTAATGAAATGTGTTTATGTGGTTTAAGGTTCAAAAAACACATTATTTTCCACATACTGTACATTATTGTTTATCTTCTATGCCCCGACTTTTTGAAACGTGTTGATTTTTACAAAGCACATCGGACTGAAAAGCGAGGTGTGCTGTGATTGGCCAGCTATCCAGTGTAGATATGTGGGGGCGCGTTAGAACGAGCCGTTTTAGGAGGGCGTGGACAAGTCTTAACTTTTATAAAGAATATCTCTTTGGATTTGAGACTTTAGTCTTTGCAACTTTACAGATCTTCTTTATGTACCAAGAGCTTGTAACACTCCAAAGAGAAAGGAAAAATTGAAATCGCATCATATGACCCCTTTAAAGATAATAAAAGGAGTCTGTTACAACTTAGCCAATCAGAATTTAGTATTCCAGAGAGCCGTGTAATAAATTATACAGAACAAAAGCAGGATGTTATGTGTGCTCACGTCAACATGGACAATTTTATAATTCCAACAAATCATACAAATATTTCTTACAAAATACCCTTCAATGGTGAAGTCTGTGGAGATTCTGTCAGCTCTGAATGACTCATTTGTGTTGCATTTCTCACTTCATTAAGAAAATGTGGGACTTTTCTGTGTTACATGTGGAACTAACTCGCTTTTCAGAGACAAACAGATAAAAAAAATCCTAAATGACGCACTGCAAGCATTACATCAAAATAACGATAAGTCAGAAACAGAACAGAACAAGAAAGGTTTTATTTGGATGTCATGCTGACTTCAACCTACACAGTAAATTAACCTAGGCCTATATATCATACATGAATCTCTAAGGCCTGTAATGTTAGAATAACTTTTAGCAATATTACAAGATGAACACTTACTGAACTGAAGCAACTTTGGTTTACTTAATTATCCATACAGAAATAGCTATTTTAGAAAAATCATATTAAAATGTGAGTATCAAATATCTTTGAGGAACATTTATTTGTTATCATCATTGTATTGCATCAGATTATATATATTTGCCCCCACATTAAAAACTACAGATCTTTTGATCATAAAACTAAACATTTAAGTCACCTTACAAAGACGTTATTGGGAGATATAGAGTTAAAACTGATATTTACATGTATTTGATGTAAGTAGTCCGCTTTACTGTTATAAAGATCTCACTGATTTACTTTTTCAGACTGCATTACAGGGTTATATTAGGCCACTTATTCCCCAGCTGGCATATTAATACTGTATATGTGTCAATATCACCATAGAGTGCCTTTCAACCCTCACAATACTCAAAAATGTTGGTTTTAATTTCCCATTTGCTTTATGTCATATAAATAGTAGACACTCAAGTACTATAGAAACATATTAGCTTTTTATATTCATATTAGCTAATTATTATTTAAAATATTATTGTAAAATATCAAGATGACAGGGTGGACCAGCACATGACGGGGTGGACACATAATGCAGAACACAAATATGACAATGAAACATTTATTCAACTTCGAAAAAAATAATACAATTTTATTTTCATTTTAGTTTTTAGCAATATTAACTACTCGAGTCTTAAGTGGCTGACAGTGTGGACATTTTGAGCTTCAATTAGCATATTAGCTTACAACAAACTGTGACTAGCTAAATATTTAGTCTGTTTGTTGAAGAGAACTTGGTATATTTAAACTTACATATTTTGAAAATACTGTATTCTAATAACTTCTGGCATATTTTATGCCGACAGGGTGGACATGTTAAGCTTTGGCAGAGCAAGTAAGTAAACTCGGACGAAGAAAATTTGTCAATTGAAAAGTCACCAACTTACTCGCCTCAGCCTTGAAATTCCAGCCACTGAGGAGACAAAACAAAAAGCTGTTGTCCTGATGTCACTAAAGGGGATGGCCTTTTCTTAAAGGGGCGGATTCCCCAATACTACAGGGTGGATTACCATTCAACGGACATGGACAAACTCTTCTTTTTTATTAAATAAAAATATTGTTTTTATTACTAAATGATCAATACACTCAAATTGAGTCATCTCTTATTTAACAAAATATTAGTAGGAGACCAAATTTTTACATTTTATGATTTGACAATATTCTACTATCATTCAAATTGAATGAGCAGTGCATGGGGCATAGCAATATTACACGCATCCTCTTACACAAACCTAAAAAAAAATCTAGAAAATGTATCTAAAGAGCTAAGTAATGCTTTTGTTATGAATATAAAAACTTAGCCTAATAATATAACACACCCTTTCGGACTCGGCGTCATTTTTATGTTAAGTTATCATGGCAAATGAGTTATTTATCTACAGGGTGCCAAAAAGCACCCTACAGTGATATTGACCCACATGTTATTCTGTGTCATTATGAAATGCTTCTGCATGTTCTCAAGGTTAAGCGGTGTGAAAATCCTTGATTGTAGCCTTTACATCAGGTTAGGGGGTGTTTTGAGGGGTTTCTTTATGGCTAATGACTTTTCCCCCGCTAATGTCTGCTCACCACGACAACTCAGAAACGATGAAATCTGTACTTTTTCTCTTTTTGCTCGTATGACTCATCTATAAGAATATATGACTCATAAATATCCTCAATCTGACTGTTAAACCAGAGTGTTCCTGTTTTTGCACCTAGTTAATATTAAAGGACACACGTCTAACACAACAATAACTGTGTTGTCTCGGTGGATGTTTCACTTATGCAGATGCAGAAGTTTGACAGCACACACTTCACATTATCAACAGAAACCAGCTGAGGCGTAAATGTTCTGCTACTGGAAAACCCTGAGAAAAATCACACATATGTACATGCGATCGATGTAAACCTTGTTCAGGCAAGGGACCCTTTAATTGGTGAATGGAGCAGGTGCCTTTTATATTTTACTTATTGTATTATAGATAGGTGTTAGAACATGGCCATTCCCCCAAAAGGCTTAATTATCATAGAAAAGCAGTTTCAGTGTTTCTACACCATTTGAGACGATCACATCCTGAGCAAATGCTCATGTAGAATGGAAACGGGTGTGTGAAACTGAGAGCCATCACAGACAATAAGGTGTCTGGACTTCATTAACATACAGACACAACAGGAAAAACTGCTTTTATTGGGGGCAGAAAACTGAAACAGGATGAAAGGCTTGAGTTTAGGATGTTTGGGGTTTATTCAGCTGCTACTTTGTTACTGCTATGCTGCAATTAACTTCATCATTGAGGTCTTCAATCAAAGTCTTCATCCTTTTTGTCTTATAGTATAATATATTTTAACATGGGAGGGACATGTACATATCTGTGTTATTTTAGTATTATTTATAATCTGTTTTTGTATGTGGGTCAAAGACGTTAAGATGTCCGCATCAAAAGAAATTCTGTAAATCAGGGAAAAATGGTAAATATGATATTTATTTTTTACTCAGAAAAACAAAATTGTAATTAAATTAAACAGACTATTTTTAAATTTTGGGGGGGGGGAAAACAACAACAATTTAAAGCAGTATTACACTTATTGTAAAAACAATCTAAATGGGCAAAACCTAGGATAGTAGCACATTTTAAAAATGTAAAATTACAACTAATTAGTAATTAGTATTAAAGTAATTAGTCTTTTAATATGTCATAAATTGATTTTTGTTGTAAATATGCCTGACAG